AATTTTCTTTCACATTTTATCTTTTGAAAAAAAATAGAAAAAAATAAAAAAAAAAAAAAAAAAAAAAAAAAAAAAAAAAAAAAAAAAAAAAAAAAAAAAAAAAAATCAAACCTTTATATAATTTCCAAAGTATACACGTAAACGATCAAGTGCATTTACTCTTTGTAAAAGATCATATAATTCTTCTAAATCTTCTAACTTTGATTTAGAATTTTTCCGTGAATTTCTATCTCCTTTCATCAAATCCGAAAAACCTATTAAAAAGTTTAAATATTTATTAATAAAAAAATTTATATATTTAGAATTAAGATAAAAAACTATATTTTACCTTTAGCTAATATGGTATCAATATGTTTTCTTATTAATTCATCTTCTACAACTTTAAATAAGGGAGTAGATGTTTTTTTTTCCAAATAATTTACAATTCTTTGATGTTCTTGTTCTAAACGCTTTGAAACATGTTGAATATAACTTGATACCGATAATTTTTCAACAAGTCTTTCTCCTTCTTCTTCATAATAATCTCGAGTTTCTGAGAGAAATTGTGATTCAAACCCTTGAGTATAAATGTTAAGTTGACTAAACATATTTATTAGAGTATTTACTAGTGGTCGATTAATAGAATCTCCTCCCCTAATTATAATAAAGAAGCATAGTTAGTAAATATTATAAAGAAAAGATAAAAGAAAGATAAAAATTTTTTTTTGAATATTTACCTTTCATATTTAATAAGAGAAAGTAAGCCCCATAAAGTTTTTTGTCTTACAGCACTTGGAGGCAAAATATGTTTTCGAAATAGTTCTATTCCCATATCCCTAACAATTTCAAATAAAGTAATACAATTTATAATTTTAAAATATTTTAATTAATACTATAAAAAATATTTTTAAAATATTAAATCTCATTTTTTAATCTTACCATATTGAAGCAATTCCTGGTGTATGAAGTACATACGTTCGATCAAGATATAAAAAAATACTTCGAATTTTTTCCTAAATGATCAATATATATATTTTAATATTTTTTAAATATTTTTTATTATATTCTAAAATAATTTGAAATAATTTAATATATATATATATATATTTTGAATATATTTTGACATTTACCATTTGTTGACAATGAAGTTCCCAACATCTATTAATCTCGAAAAGAAATGCTTCTTGGGTAGCAGGATTGCTGAATAAAAAGTATGTTGATCAAAACCTTGTCCATATAATGAAAATGATGAACTTTTTCACTTCTCAATAATCTATAAATTTTTTGTTTGGCAATAACTCTATTCGCCTCCAAACAAAAACAAAAAAAAAAAAAAAAAAAAATTTTTTTTTTTTTTTTCTTTATTTCCAATAATCATATGGTGAAGAATCCAATAAATTTGTGATAATAAAACTTTTATATGTCAAAATGATGTAAATTAGAATACTAACTCATCAAGTCTTCTCTTTTCCGCTATATAATGTTTTTCACATTCGTTAACTAACTTGGAATAAAGTGATGGTGCCATATTATGCAAACAAAGGTTTCCACATGCTTTGTAAAGCTCTTCGTAACTTTCTTTGACAGGTCGATGATTATGAATAGCGATAATAGCAGACTTAAGCTTTTGCCACATTTCTTCTTCAAAATTTACTGGTAACATTGGTTTAACTAATATTTATAGTTGGCATTGGATTTTAATTAGGTTTTGAATGATAATTACAGACTTTCAAAACTAATCGATTTTTACCTTTAAGAGGTTTAATCACTAACTTAACGGGTGCATTTGTTCCAGATTGTTTTGATGCACCAACTGATTTATCAGGTATTGGCTTATGAGAAGGAAAAACCAAATCCGCGTTCTTATTTCTCATTTTCAAATTTCGTAAAGCAGATCTCTGAGGAGTATACATATAAACATATAAACTGAACAGTTAAAAAACGTTCTGATTAAATTATTAAATTATCAAATTCGTGTTACCATGATTATTATTATTTCTTTTGTGTAAATCGCATTGCATTTTTATTAAGTATAAGTTGTAAAGATTACTTAAGAGACACATGACGATGAGCTGGTGGAAAATGACTCTATTCAAATAAAAATATACATAGAATCTTTTGGAGACAACCAACAGACGCAAAAGCCAAGATCTGCTATACTAGAGTCAGTTCAGAGCATCAGCGAGACAACCTCAAATAACAGATCATGAACCTCCAGCAACAATGCTTAGGTTTTTTGTCCTTTTTTGGAACGGAATGAACATCAAACTTGTGGGATAGATCTTTGGGACTTTGCTCGTGACCAAAAGTAATGAAGCCGGAGAACTTGTAGAAGATTTGCTCTCAATAATTATCAATTATTATTAATTATTATCAATTATTATCAATTATTATCATTTATTATTAATTTATTATCAATTATTATCAATTATTATAGTATTTGTGGCAAGACGTAATAGAATGTGGTCTGAATCTAATTGTAGGTGTTACGATTTCATCTACATCTACATTTATGGATATTATTATATTGAGGAAATGAGACTATGGAACTTTTATTATTGTTTTATCAAAGGACAGTTTTCATGTTTAAGTAGGATTTTAAACTTTTTAATATTTTGCGTTTGTAAATGCTTTTATCCTGACCCTCATGTGATACAATACTTTTATAGCGGGTCCCTATTAAGTTATATATTTCATTTGAGTTTAAAAAAAAATAATAAATTATTACATAGAAACAATTTGTAAATGATATTGGTAAGAATTTTTTATTTTAATTTCTCAGGAATACATCGATTTACCAATATTTCTTTGATTTTGTAATTTCTTAGACATTCTATTGGATTGTTTAATAAATTATGTGATTTTAAGATATCATTGTCATTAACACCATTAACTGTATCAAGATTAACATTTCTGATGGAGGTATTTCCTCTACTAATATTTTCAGTTGTATTCTCTTCTTCTTCTTCACTTCTAGGACTATTCAAATATGGAATAATCACGTAACAAAGGATCAATGACTAAAGAAATTTATTAGAATAATGATTAAGTTAATTAAGTTAATTAAATTAATTAAGTTAATTAAAATCAATTACCTTTTTAATCTGAACACAAACTCTACTCAAATTCATCAATAATTGCCACGAAGAGACTACGTTTTGACGAAATTGTGAATTATTATAATTATTGTCATTATCACTAAGATTATTATCTTTTGAGGATGGATAATATGGCAAGACTACCACGCCATATCTAAATTATTATTATTATTATTATTATTATTATTATTATTATTATTTTAAAAAAAAAAAGAAAATATGAATTTCTAATAATACTTGCAAGGATAGAATATTTGAAATTCTCTATGAAAATCAAAGATCAATAAGAACAATGTAAATTTTTGTAATAAGTGAAAAACTCACTCTGCATGTTTAAATATAGGTCCTTTTTCATATAACGCTGAATAAGCATCAACATGAAAATGATGATAAAATTATTATTAATTAATGAAATTAAAAATTTCCGTCATAAATAATATCAAATTTGATATTGCAAGAAACACATTATACAAAATAAATTTTTTTTTTGTTTTTTAAAAAAAAAAAAAAAAGATAATATAAATAATGTAAAAATTTGATAAATGTTACCATAATCGACACCAAATTTAATTCCACTTTTAACGACCCATCCTAAACTGCGAAAATGATGATATGCTATATATTTAATAATAAAAGGATTGTCCGAATTATTAATTGACATTTTTTTTTGTTGATGAAAATTGTTGGTGACTGGAATATTAATTTGTGATAATAATGGTGAACGAGAGAGAGAGATTGATGAGATTCGAAATTCATCCCAACATTCTTGAATACTCATTAAATTCTAAATAAAAATTATTACAAAATGTAAATAAAAATTATCAAATATTAGTAGTTCTCTTAATTTAATTAATTTTTAATTTGATTTAAAGATTTAAAGTCAAAGAAGACAAGATGAATTAAATACATTATTAGAATCATAGATATCCAAAGTTCCAATTCCAAAACCTAAAAAGAATGCTTCTTCAGTTGTCAATTTCAAATGTTCATCTTTGATCATTATCCGTTCATCCTCCTCTTCCCCTTTCTCTTCTCGTTTTAATTTTATTTCATTGTTATTTGAAATATAATCTTCACTTGGATTATCACATTTATTATCTTTAATTGCATTATCACATTCATCACATTTATTACTTTCTTCTATACTAATGATCCATTTATTTTCATTACTCTTTTTATCTATACCAATTGTTTCTTTTGAATTCTCTACAGTATTTGAAGTAATATCAGGAGGAATATCAATGACATTATTCTTTGATGTACTCATGGAAACATCTTTATCTTCACCAAGAACTATGCTTCTTTTCTGCTTCTTTAATTTTCTTTTTGCTCGAAATAATCTACGTTTTTGTGTTACTTGTTCTGCTGTCAAATTTCCTTTTTACAAAAAAAAAATTTTTAATTTTAAAGATACAATTAATTTATCAAAAATTTTTAAAAAATTTTGAAAGATTTAAAATCATTAATGCCATTAAAACCAATTAAATTAAATAAAAATTTTTTTGTTATATTACTTTTATTATTCCAAGTAGGTTCGCTTCTCGATAAATTTCCTTTACCAAAAAAACCTTGTTTCCATAACTTTTCTATATCACGTTTATCACATACTATCACACTATTTGACAGTGAGTCAAAAATACCTTGCGGTTTAGAAGACTTGTTTTCATGATTATAGAAAGATAGATATGTAAAAAGCGAAGTTATCCTAATAAAAAAAGTATAAAGAGATATTGGAAGTGGGTGAACATAAGACTTATCCTTATTCTTTACACATTTATTCTTGGATTTTTTTTTTGCCATGAAGATTGAATTAAAAATATCTAAACGGTAAAAAATTTTTTTATCACATGCATGCAATATATTGCGGATCATTTATTTAATTTATTTAGAGAAATATTTTTAAAGTAAAATTTTTAAACATTAAATGAATTGTCAAATAATGAATTATCAAATCTTAATTTTCATCAAATAATAAATTATTAAATTTTAATTTTTTTTTAATTAAAGCTTTTAATATTAAACATTTTTATTATGTGATTAGAATGCAATAAAAGGTGTTAAATGTGTCAAGTGTCAACAATTATAATTTAAGATTCCATTAATTCACGTAGACGACGTACTGTGGATCGAACAGTGGCAGCAGTGGTTGTTCTACGAAAGCAATGATAAGAAATGATAAGAAATGATAAGGTAAGAAATGGTAAGATAAGAAATGGTAAGATAAGAAATGGTAAGATAAGAAATAGTAAGAAATGGATAAACAAAAAAAGAATTAAGAAGTATCAGAAAAAATATGAATAATTACCCAACCGTCCAAGCCCCACCCGCCAAAACTTTTTTACATGCTCGGCATTCCCAAATTCCTACAGCTTTTCTTTTAACAGTTTCCTGAAATTTTTGTTAATATAATTTATAAATTAATCTTAATGAATTAATGAATTAATGAATTAATTAGAATTAATGGTGTTTTTATACCTTTCCGCAAAATGCACAAGTGTATTTTGCATGTTGAGTAATTTCCATCTTTTTGATTTGTTTTCTTAACGAAGCACCGTAACGAGTACCATATTTACCCACAATCCCAACCTAAAAAAAAAAAATTGATTTGATAAAAAATAAATTAAAATATCTTTTTAACCAACAATTATTGATAAATTAAATTTATATTATCCTTTTCATTCTTTCTCTTACCTTCTTTGTGCGTTTAGCCTTATTAAAATAATTAAATCATTTTTAAAATTTGGTGAATAAAACCCATTCAAATTAAAAACACATGTAGATGGATGTATCGCATTAATTACTTACCATTTGGATAAAATTGCAAATGTCAAACAAGTCACTTTTTCAAATCTATATATTCAATCTCTTTATTTATTATTTGACCAATCGGATTTTCCAAAAAAAAAATATATATACCAGTTAGTTGGTTAATGTGATTTCACGTGACGTTATCTAATGCATCACAGTATTACAATTACAATTGGTTAAATATATTGTATGAAACGGAAATTTGTAAATGGGACCCTTTCCATCACTTACAAAAAACATTTTTGTATTTTTGTTTCTAATAAAATAAAAATACGAGATGTCATATTACCCAAATACTCAAATAAATGTTAGCGGAACTTCCACAGATTGGAGGTTGCAGTTCACTGAAGAAGATAGGAAAAATATAGTGAGTAGATTGTTTAAGGGGTTAGAATTTCTTAATAAGAATAGCGAAGAGAACTTCAGTGACAATCAAAGGTTCTTCTATTCTAAAAATTGGGAAAACGAAGCATACAACATTGCAAATTCAAGAGACGAATACAACTCTATAATAGGAGCTAAATTAAAGGAGCTTACTACTCGAATCAATACTGCCGTCCAAAGAAAACAGCAGCACGTGATGCAACATTTACCCGAACAAATTGCTACTGTTCAACAACCACCACCACCACCACCACCATCACAACAGCAACAACAACAGCAACAACAACAACAACAACAACAGCAACAACAACAACAACAACAACAACAACAACAACAACAACAACAACAACAACAACAACAACAACAACAACAACAACA